GATCAGAAATCCCACTACCACGTCACAAGACAGGCCTTCTTCTCATCTTATTAGACAAGCCTGCACACAACATCGGTTTTGCTGCAGGGCTTGTGAGTGCCCTCTGACAGCCACCACTGACAGTGTTTGAGCGGTCTCCCAGCTCACCTCCCGCCTTGCTGGCAGTGAGCTGCCAACTGGGCATCTGAGGTTTAAGGAGGTTCAAACTCAGGATTTAGATAAAAATGCTTTCAGCAAGTGACTCTTCCTCTAGGCTACACAGTGGCTGGAGAGGCTCTGAAGAAGTGTATTAAGAGAAATATAATGGTGTCTGACTTCTCTCAGCACTCAGGTTCATACTGGCAATGGACTCCCCCTTGCTCCATGACCCCTTTTAAGTTTAAAATTAGCAGCAGGGAAAAGCAGGCTGTGCAAGTCTTCAGTGTTTTCATACTGGGCAGTGACATCTGACAAGGAAGGTTTGTCAGTCTGGAGGTGCAGCGTCAGATGGCCTTGGACACCCCTCATCGCTTCCTTGGGGGATTTCTGAGAAGAGCCCCTCTCATCCCATCCCCATTTTCCACTTGCTCCTCTCAGTGACATTGGCCAACTTCAGCGTACTTTTAAGCACAATTTCCTGCTCTTGATGGAACAAGCATCTTGTTGGATCGTACTAAAAGACCCCTTTAGACAGCTGTGCCACTTGGGATCCTACAGAGGTTGCAGTTGTCCTTTTAGCCCTTGTTGCTGGCCTCTGGTGCCACTGTTGAGTTATCAGGACGTGGTACTGTACAATACTTGGTACAATCAGGTGCCAAGAGATTAAAGCCTGACTAAAACTCTTAGATGAAAAACAACTCCTGTCTGATCTGCCACTTGTAGCTTCTCCTCTCTCCTCCCCCATCCCACGGCTCAGCTCTAGATGGGCCAAGATGCCCTCTTCCTGGGGTCTTGCTCTGGTGCCTGCTGCCCCTCCTGAAAGGCTTTCTGGCAAGCTCTGTTCCTGTGGCTGCCCAACAGCCCCAGCTGCGTTCACATCCAGTACAATGCTGGGAACAAACTGAGATAAGGAGCGAGCCCAGAACCAGCATGCCAGGCAGGCAAACAGCCTTAGGAGTCCTGTTACCAGCCCCGCGCAAATGTTACTAGATGTCCGAGATATACAAGCCCCGCAGGTACGTTTACACAGTGACCTGTTTGGGCAAGATTCGAGCTAGAGCCAGTGAACTGCTTTGCCAGATGTCGGTGGTGACAGATACTCAACTGCAAGGACAGTCACACTCCCTCCTGCAGCCCGGTGGGGACAGAGGACTCGCAGCCATGCATGACCAGGGATCGCTTCACTAGTCTCTTCCTCAGCACCGGTAGCCCCTGGTTACTGGCACTTATTTTCAGCTCAGTCTTGCCATGGCCCCACGGCTATTGCTGGACATGGCTAACAGCAAATTCAAGGTGCGAAGGTGTTTGTATTGCTTTGTACCCAACATCTATGATTGTCTTGGGGGACACACACGACTATCGGAGTGAGTGAGTGGCTGAGGCTCTCTTCCTCTGTCACTGTTGGAAGCCCAGGGCTGTTTTCAGACTCTGCCAGGCTGGGCTGAGTCACTGCCATGCAGCAAACTGGGGCTTCCCAGGTATTTGGCACCAATTCTGGAGTCATCTGTTTAAGAGCTTTCTTAAACAAGCCAAGACTCTTTGATGCAAGCATAACAGTCTCCCTCGCCCCCCTTTCCCAGACAGCTTTTTGAGATCTCATCTCACTTTCAATTCCAGCTCTTCTTCCTGCAGTTTAGACTCTCCTGCACCAGCATCTGCCCTGGAGCTGTCAAGCCTAAACCCAGTTTCTTATCAGCTGAATTTAGTGAGCTTCTTACAGCATTGCTGCAGAGTCAGATCACCGCTGAAGCCCTCCAGCATCTCCACAGTGCAGCTGCCAGCCTCTTGAATCACTCCAGCTCTGGGATCCTTTGCTATATTCACAAGCGCATCTCCAAGCATCATTGTCCTTTGCGGCTGTTTTCTGTAACCCACCCCTTCACCCAGTGCGGTGGAATAACATGGGTCATTTGCACAGCACTTGGCCAGGGAGCAGCCAGGACTCAGTCACTCAGTTCTTATCTCGGGTCAGGCACTAAAGCTGTTTGTCTTGCAAGAGGGCTGAGGACACGCACCATGATCACGGCAAGCCTGGGCTATGCCAGAAGGGGAGGATGGGCAGGAATCTCAGTCACAGCCTGTGGCTCCAAAGGGTCAGGCCAGAAAACAATCTCTTATTCAGGCTTTCTTTCAGAGTTGGAAAGCAGGGCATGAATGTCATGAAGCGGGTGCAAGGGCATGGGAGGCTGTAGCTCACATGCTGAGAGGCTGTTACTCCATTTACACTTAATTCCCTTCGTGTCTCCCTCACTCCTGCCCGGAATTCAGTTATGCTGCAAAGTCCAGACCCAAGCGCAGCCTCAGGGCAGTGGGTACCACTTCATTGAGGGTTGCTGCAGAGGGGGCTCTTTTCCTCCCCTGCAGCACACTTCTACCTCCTTGTCTGTGCATGGGGAGTCACTGATCCAGCTCAACTTGACCTCTACCATGACTTTTCAGGCAGATCAGAGAACTCACCCGACTACACAGCACTCCTGGGAATCAGGTAGAGGGGAGAGCAGGACCACCTCTTGCAGGAGCAGCTTGCAGTGAGATCAGATGAGGCTTCTCATGAAAGCACAGCCAGCGTAGGAGATTAGAGGTAAGTTACACCTCCTTATCCTATGAGCTGGTGCCTTCTTATATCTGGTGCAAGTGGAGAGCTGAGCTTTCAGGTGGCAACAGGCTCAGCTGCTGATCCCCTCTCAAGTGGCTGCCCAAGTCAGTGTCCCCAGTGAAAAGCAGGTTAGAACAACAGCAGTATATGAAGTCTGGCTACTCAAGCATTTTAAGCAGAGCTCCCCCATAAAGGACTTCCCTTCCTAGGAACTTGTTTTCATAACAGTTACAGAAATTTCATTATTTTTCCCTCCCATTGAATAGACATAAGATTTCACTGTGAGGCCAAGAGATGCAGGAAAACAGACAAGCTGATAATACACTCATGCCTCCTGACTGTAAAAAGACAGATTAAAAATATTTTGTGTCTTGCCGCTCCTGGAACTAGAGGCATCGGTGTCTTGCAGTACCAAATACTCCAGACTGCCACAAATGGGAGTGTTATTTGGTTGTATCAAGTTGACCTACAGGCTTGGTGCATATCCACCTGGGAGAGAGTCAGGGCAGGCTGAGCACATGCAATTGCAATGCCTGGGAACCTGAAGCTCCTCCATCCTTCTGCAGCCGAACAACTCCCATTTGTTTTCTAGAACCTGACGGTTGGGTCAACAGTCCTACCCTGAACCAATTCCAGGATCTGCATCCTGGGATCACGTGCCAGGTCACGGTGTGAGAGGCTCCACCGATCCTGCCCTGCAGGAAGCATCCCTGCAGCTGTCCCAGCTGAGCACCAGTCCCATCTTTGTGCAGGGAAGCCGACGAGGTGATTAATAATGCAGGGCAGCCTTTTGTCGAGTGCCATTCTCGCTCTCCAGGAAGAAGAGAGTTGTGCTGCATTCCAGGGCATCAATAATTCAGCCAAAGGTTGGGTTTCCTCTGGGAGGCTTGGCTGGCCAGCAGGAACACTAGATGCATTATCAGGGCCCATGTGGGCAAGCAGGCTGACAGATCAGGAGAGCAGCACTTGGGCGACAGGCCCAAAACAAGCACGACTGTGCTGGACTGCAGTTAGGGCAGCTGCCTGCGTTCACAGCTTGGGCGAAAAACTCCCCTTTCCCCAAGAGAGCTGGTAGAGACACTACTGGGATGTCAGGAGGGTGAGCAAGTAGAGCTGAGCTGGATGGGTCCCTCTGCACTACAGCTACAATATCAAAAAAGGCTGTGCCTACAGCCCTAGAGACTAAAGGCCATCAAGGTTAGGCCTCAAAATAGCACATACGTTGTTCTCTTTGCTGAAAGCATTAGCACCTTTCTCCCCCTTAAAGCGAGGGAAAGAAAATCCCAGTGCTCCCACTGAGTTATGCCAACACCACAGCTGTTTTGCACAATGCAGCACGAGTTGACTTGTGTCTCTTCCAGGCTTGTGTGATTTTTCCATCCCTCTCCACGCCAGCTGGCCCAGGCCTGTATGCCGCAAGCTCTGACAGGGTAGCTGCAGCCCCCTTGCAGAGGATCTGGTGGCAGAGTTCAGGCCCTTGTACCCCTTGCAGGGTCCCCAGTTTTTCCAGCTGGACATTACTCGCAACTTTCCACCTTAAATCACAAAGATCAAACCAGGGCCAGGAGTCTTAAACCAGGAATAGTCTCCGGCACCTGCCAGTAGATTTGGGCCAGTGGATCTTCTGAAGCCTCTGAACAGCTTCATAATGCCCAGGCTATTGTAACATTTGCATTTTTGGTGATCAGAGGCATGACAGAATCCGTTCAGGCAAATCTACCTCCCACCTTGTAGAGGGTTGCATTAGGAGAGAAGCCATAGCCACCCAGTCAGCATCTAAAAACTACCTGAATTTCAACAGCTCTGGACAAGGTACAGAGTATGCTTCAAGTATTTGGTCACCAGGA